TAAATGATTTTAGCAAATGGCTGCAATATATTTTGTTGTGTGCTTTTTTCATTTTCAGTAGTTTAAAAAATATCCACTGTATATATTAAATATTTTTTTGAATAAATAAATTTGTAAATAAATTTTTAAATACGGAACACTCTAGAAAAATTCAGCTAAAGAAATATAAAATACTTTTGAATGTATGAATGACTGAATAAATGAATAAATCAAATAAATTAATTCATTTAAAAATAATTTGTAAAAATGTATTTTAATTAAATGTTTCATTTAGTTTTATTTATAATTTTAATTCTAGTTTTAGAAATGTTGGCAATTGACCTAAAACTTATTTTATTTAAATGTTTATTTCAGGTTTTGTCATTTTAGTAGTCGAAATTAAACATGTTTTGTTTTTTAGTGGCTTTGGCAACATTGAAATTTTTACATTTTTCATACACTACTTATATTTTCTTTTCTTTCAGCTTAATTTCAATTTAAGGAAATCATTTTTAATAGCTTTTAATTAGCAATAACAACACTGGTGCAAAAACTGCCACCAAAAGACCATTTCTCCAGTACTGAAGGGCTGTTTTAAGACTGTATGCTCATCATGATATCACAAATCAGTTTCATATATAATTTAATATCATAATCACATTCTGTTTTTATATTAAATTAGAAGAACTTTGGACTTTCAGTCTGAAACAGATGCAGTGGGATTAACTTATTTTCTGCTGACATCATCAAAGCCAAGTGGGCGGGGCAAAATTATGTCAGCCAATAACATCATAGCACACTTTTGACCATCCAATCAAACCCTAATGTGTAAAACCAAGTCCCGTCCTACATCAAGATTTTGATTCATTCACACATTTTTTCAGGCTACAGACGTTAAATGTGATGTGTGTGTGTGTGTGTGTGTTTTCTCACCACGTCCATGATCTGCATCAGACTGAAGCTGAAGTGAACGGTGAGCGAATGAGAGTCGTTATAAACGGGTCGTTCCAGAGGATTGTAGTTTCTCATTAAGTCTTTGTACAGACGTCGCTGATGCTCCCCCTGTATAGACACTGACACACATACACACACACACACACACACAGAGAGAGAGAGAGAGAGAGAGAGAGAGAGAGAGAGAGAGAGAGAGAGAGAGAATTAACTGAAAACTGTAGTGACCAAAATATATTTTTAATATTATTTAAACCTTTTTAACATTAATATTTTTGTGATATATCAATATATACAGTGGGGAAAATATCTATTTGATCCCCTGCTGATTTTGTAAGTTTGCCCACTTACAAAGAAATTAAGGGTCTGTAATTTTTATGGTAGGTTTATTTTAAAGGGTTACTCCACCCCAAAATGAACATTTTGGTCATTAATCACTTACCTCCATGTCGTTCCAAACCCATAAAAGCTTCGTTCGTCTTCGGAACACAATTTACGATATTTTGGATGGAAAAGTATGAAAGACATCGTCAGAATAGTTCATCTGGCATCAGTGGTTCAACCTTAACATTACGAAGCGACGAGAATACTTTTTGTACGCGAAGAAAACAAAAAATAACGACTTTATTCAACAATTTATCTCCTCCGCGTCACCGTAGCGCCATTTTGGAGAATATCAGCTGGACGTAAACTGTGTATACTGTTCTACTTGTCTGTGTCAGCCCTCGACATACGGATACGTTTTCTACGTTTATTTATGCTTTGATTTGAACTAAAACAGCGTATGCGTGTGGCGCGGCTGACACAGAACAATATACGCAGTTTACGAACTGTTGAATATTTTCTGGACCTTGACAGTGTAAGTTACTTGGCAGTCAATGGGACCGTCACAAGCCTCCCGGTTTTCATCCAAAATATCTTAAATTGTGTTCCGAAGATGAACGAAGCGGGTTTGGGACGACATGGGGGTAAGTGATTAATGACCAAATTTTCATTTTGGGGTGGAGTAACCCTTTAAAGTATAGAGAAAGAATACCGACAGAAAAAACACATTATATAAAGGTTAGAAATGTATTTGCATTTCAGTGAGTGAAATATACTGTATATATATATACAAATGGATTTTTTTGTTTGTTTTGAGTGGGTTTGTATAAATTCACACTATGATCTCCCTACAAGTAATTGTGCAATTTGGTTTAACTCCCAAATATGTTCATAAATGAATGTTAGATATAATGAAGAAAGACCTTCTAAAATTCCAAAACGAACTAAAGTTGTTCAAAAGCCCAGAGAAAGTGATGCTTGTCTGTTTGAGAGGCGGTTAAACACACAGTTGTTCAGTCCAACTGCATTTCCATTAATTGTCTGTGTTTGTGCTTGAAGGTCTGGTTAATTAGATCACTAGTTAATTAGAGCTATTGCTGGTTGCCAAGCATCTATCGATCATACTTATATAAATAAACCTCTACAAACAGTAGGGACAGTATCCGGTGTTGGGGGTAATGCATTACAAGTAACGCGAGTTACGTAATCAGATTACATTTTTCAAGTAACTAGTAAAGTATCGCATTACTTTTTAATTTACAAGAGAATATCTGAGTTACTTTTTCAAGTAAGTAACGCAAGTTACTTTTTTTTTTCAATTTATTGATTGACAGCTCTCCTGTCGCCATGTTGAGAGAAATCAGATGTTACTGTACTTCTAAAATAAATATGAATATGCATTCATTCATCTCACTCACATAAAAAACTAAACACACAGATTCAGTATTCCTCAAAATGAATAAAAATAATGCAACTCGGAATATGACGCAAACCTGCAATAATTAAATGTTAAACAACACAAATATCCTTTATGTATTTAATCACATTCTATTAAGCAATGTCTTCGATGATCCAGTTCAAGCGTACTAATAAGCAAAAAGTACTCTAGACAAACATTTGTGTGTCTTTGTTTATTGCTGAAGTGTGTTGAAATGTCTTCTTCTGCATTCTACTGTACTTTCCCTTCAGCCTGAGGCTTCTTCATTTCACTTTTGGTGTGAAAATGCTTTTATATTTGCCAAAAATATAACTTTTTTATTTTAAAAACAAACAAGCGAGCCCTGTCCAGATTTAAAAAGTAACGCAAAACGTTACTTTCCATAAAAAGTAACTAAGTAACGTAATTAGTTACTTTTTTTATGGAGTAACGCAATATTGTAATGCATTACTTTTAAAAGTAACTTTCCCCAACACTGCAGTATCTCTATCCTCAACATCGGTTGGTCTTTGAACTCTTTTGTTCACTGTACTCAGGACTGATTGGTGAATCTCTCTCTCTCTCTGTGTCTATAATGAAGCCGCTTTAATTGAGTCTGTGTTCAGGAGAAAGTTCAGTTACACTGACGGCTCCCCGAGGAGCGCGTCTGACCCCCACACACTTATCAGAATTCATACGCAAAATCAATCAGTGCTTTCCTCCAGAGTGAACATGCTGTAATATTCAACCGGTCTGAAACGCTGGAGGATCCGTGAGCTCAGATCTCGGTCAAGAACGACTGTAATCACACCCTCACACCCTCTGGTTTGAGAAATCAATGGTATTTTAGAGCAAAAGAAAGTTAAAGGACACTTAAGAGAGTGTTTTGTGCATCTTTAGGTTCAGGAGAATCACATCCATCTGTTTCTCAAACCAACTGTTACTGTAGGATTTCTGTCACAAGAATTTAAACTTGCATGTAAATATTTATATGTATGTTTATTATTATATATGTATTTGTTATTTTATTATATTTGATAAATTAAAAGAGGAAAATAAACCTGGAAATAAACGTACGTAAGTTTCAAGCTCCTCAGAAACAAAACATTAAAATGATTAAGATAAATGAATAAATAAATAATTATTTATATAAATACATTTATTTGATATAAATTAATATAAGTTATTCCTATTTGATCATTTTATTGATTTATTTTGCAAAAGAGAAGATAATCCTGGAAATAAACCTACCTTATTAAGTTTCATGCTCCTCAAACAAAACCCACACCAACTAAATAAATGAATAGTGCATAAATATTAATACTAATTTGATAAATAATAAATAATAATTTTCAATGAATAATTTTCCATTTTAATTTAGTTGTAACTATACACACACGGACACAGACACGGACACACACACGGACACACACACACACACACACACACACGGACACACACACACGGACACACACACGCCTCTATCTAATGGTCTAATGGTACACACACAAACAAACACGGACACACACACAAACACAAACACGGACACACACACAAACACGGACGCACACACACAAACACGGACATGGACACACACACACACACACACACGGACACGGACACGGACACACACACAAACTTAACTTTTCTTTCAAATGTTGCAAAATACTAACACTTTGTTTATTTTGAGGTTTAAATTAAAAAAGATGAAGAAAAAAAATATATGTGCCCGAGGGATATTTTAGTTGTATTATATTTTATTGTAGTTTTTAAATATTTCTAATTATTTTATGTCATTTATATTATGTAAAAATACATTAAAAATGTATGACTAAACCTGGAAATAAACCTACTTAAGTTTCAAGCTCCTCAGAAACAAAGCTCATGCATGATTAAAATGCATAAATAATACATACATTAATGAATACATATATTAATTTATCAAGTGAATTTCTTTATATAAAAATTAATACAATAAATTAACAAATGAATATAAATTTCTTTATAATAAATAAATAAATGTATATTAATACACTTATATTTGTTTATATATATATATACACATACACACACACACACTCTCTCTCTCTCACACACACACACA